ACACGGTATGCAAGTTGTGAAAGTCTATTTCATAGACTTAAGCAAGCATCCAGGTCTTGAAACATCAGTTTTGATCAGGTTATCAAAATTTTGATTTTGAGATAACCTTTGAATGATGTGTATTTGTATGTAAAGGATACAACGGAAGACAATAGCTTTTCTGGTACTTTATGTATATGATATGCTCCTTATTAGAAACAATGTGAAGGTAATATCAAACATAAAGAGTTGGCTAAGTTAGTGTTTTGGTATGGAAGTACTGGGGAAGCCAATTATATTCTTGGTATAAAACTCTTATGAGACCGGAAGAATAAGTTGTTGGCATCACCTCAGGCTACTTACATTGACAAAACCCAAAATTCAACATGAGAATTCTAAGAGAAGAATTATAATTCTCAGATGTGGAATCCATCTTCCTAAGGAGTGACCAAAGACTTCTAAGAAGGAAGAATGCATGAGCAAGATATCTTATGCTTTGGCAAAGGTAGACTCACGCATATCATGTTAGGCGTTAAACCAGACATCTGTCACGTAGTGGGAGTAGTGAGATAGTACCATTTTGAACCTAGAGAAATACTAGATTATTGTTAAGCATGTACTCAAGTATCTTTGGAGAACGAGAGATCATATGCTGGTATATTCTAGTGGGAGTCTTGAAAAGCTGAGTTTTCAAAAATTCAGTTATTTCAAGTGGATATTGACTCAAGAAAATCGACCTCGAGCTATGAGTTTTTCACTAAACTCAGATAGCATTAGAGGTGGATCTTGCAGACCCAGTTACTAAGAGTTTGCCTGAACTTGTGTTCGAGAGGCATGTTACTTCTTTGGGTCTAAGGAGGATCCCAGACTTGCATTAAGCAAGTGAGAGTTATTGGTTTCATTGTGCTCTTGGAGTAAGACGATGAAACAATAGAATAATTTTCTGAATTTCATAAATAAGATTTTATTTATTTATTTTGCGCACTATTTACAAACATAAAGGTCCGGATCAAATTGTGGAGTATATGATCATATGGATACGTTCATAGAGGACATGATCATAGGTTCTCACGATTGATGAATGGATTCACAGCTGTTAAATAAAGTTGGGCACTTTATTTAGGCTGCAATATTTTATGAAATGGTTTTGTCTGAATCATTGTAAAATATTGGTGTGAGTTAACATTCACATCGAAAGGATCAAGGAGAGATTTGATTAAGGTTGTTTTTCTGTCATAAGGTATCAAATCTCTAGTTAACTATAGTTATGTAATTGCTCTTAATCCTGAGTTTATTATAAATAGGTAATCAAATAGTTTTCATTCTTTGATTTACCAACGGGTGAGGTTCGATCTATTGACGGCCAATAACTCAGTATTTTGGGAGTGAGATTATTTGATTATCGGTATTTATGAGATAAACAACATGGAATTTGTAGGATATGTCCCCTTGATATGTTTCGGTACTTGGATATTAAAGACACTGGCCAATGCATGTAATCCATTAGAGAAACTATCATAGTCAATGGAATAAATAATTGATTGAGTTACAGAAAACTTGTCAATCAATTATAGACATTCTACAAAGGGGCGATGCATATTCATGTTATAAGTGTTGTTAATCTTGGAGTTCAAGTTCGGGCTTTTAGTGGAGTAGCACCGAATTAGATAATCATTCGTTGATTATCAAGAGCCTTGATTAATAACAGATGGTAGATCCCCAAGCTAGCTTGAGACAAGGGATGGGGTATTTTTCGGATAGATGATGACTTATGGGTTACATGATCTTGGGTTTTACGACTCAAGTTTGTATCCAAAAGAGCAAGTGGGAGATTGTTGGGTTTGCTCTTTTACTAAAGCCCAAATGGGTTATTAGTATGAGAAGAGCCCAAGGAACCTAGAGCCCAATGAGCTAGGGTTTCTTGGAACCCATATAAATAGTACCTCTTAAGTCATCAGCTTAAAAAAGGTCTTCTTTGTGAGAAAGAGGCAAGCTCTGAATCTAATCAGTGCCCACACACTTCCCCTTCCTCCTCGAGAGATAGTTTGGAAGATCTGCCACAGTCCAGCTACAAGGAGGTTGTCGTGCTGCGGCGCTGAGGTGAGCTGTTCGTGAAGAGGAATCCTACAAGGAAAGATTCTACACGAGACCTGCGCACCGAGAGGTAATTGTGAAACAAGGATGATTTGGTAAGCATACCAATGTACTAGGTCCTAAACCACTTCCGCATAAATCTAAGATTTCCTACAAATCCATATTCCGAAGCAAGCACCTGCTAATACCCACCTAAATTGACCGTGTCTATAGTCATTTGTCAGTTCATGCAAAATTAGATCATAAGAGAGAATCTTAATTGTTTATTGAACGATAGTAAAAGATAAAAAAAAATTAAGATAAAAAATGATATAAACTAACCATTAATTTATTTATAAATAATTGAAATTCGCCTCCTATTATATTTTCATGTTAAATAATACATAAAAAAAAAAATTCATTTCCGTCAACCACACGAATTACATGTGTTTAATAGCTTTGTAAATATTCAAGACACGTGGAAAAGAAGACCAATATGAATATTATATACATTTTATTCTTGAGTGGGCTATAATTTCGTATTGTACTCAATATTCGAAGTTTCCTGTTTTGCCTGTTTACTGCTTACGCTAAGCGGGTGTTTGGTTCAGGAGTTTTGTATTGTTTTTCAGGAAAGTGATTTCTGTCCTACTCACTTGCACACGTTTGGTTCACGGAGGTCTTCAATTTTATCCATCAAAACGAGTTGCCTAGCTGTCATGTTTTGCATGTTAAAAAGCAACAAAAGCACTGTTCCAGAAAACATCTTGGAATGTGATATTTGTCTTTGAAAATCGAAAAAGTGAAAAGTGGTACAAATAAGTGACACAATTACCCCCACACGTGAAAATGATAATTGGTCCTATAGAGTTATTTTTAAAAGGATAATTTTGTAATTTCAATAAGTTTTCCCATCAATATTTATCTTCAACCAAACTCACATTCAGGAATTTCACTCCATTTTTTTGATAAAATTTTGTCTAACCAAACAACTTTTTTAAAATTTTTCTATCTAACTCACTTTCCCTGCATATCCTTAGTAATTACATTTTCCTAATAAAATTCTTTTTCACCTTAATCAAACACCCCTTAAAAATACCACTTGCTCAAAAGTCTGGAAATACCACTTGCTCGAAAGTCTGGACAACAGTGATTATAATACCAGTGTTTCCAAAAAGATTTTCTACACGAAAAATTCGTGTAAATTTGTTACATCACATAGCCAACTTCCTTTGCATATACGACATGTTTTTGGTGACTACATAATTTGTTACCTGTACAAGCAAATTAGGGCTTTGAGAAAAGTAAGACACATGGGAGCTTACTAGAACTTCGCTACGAGGCATAGACGCATAGCGAACTAATTCCAACGTTTACAAAAAAAAAAAACAGTCGTTGGATCACGTATTTGACATGGACAAATTCATTATACAGTGTAACAAACTATATCTAACGAATAACTACCAATTGACTGCCTATATAACACCCCCCAAACCAAATTCCCCACCCCAACTCTCTCTCACTCTCCAATTAAATATTTCTCCTGGCTCAGCAGAAATTTATTGGACTTTATAGCGAAATTGACATGTGTCAGCAAAAATTTGTTGTGCCCTATAGCGAATTTCTCATTAGTTGCCATGTGTCATTTTTTGTGAGAGCAATATCTATTTTGCTATACTCCGTAGCGAATTAGATATTGCCTGGCACATGAAGGTCAGATCAGCTCAACTAGTTTACTATGTCCTATAGCCAATTTCTATGAGGCTGCCACATATCTTGCATTTCTCATAATATGGACTGACATTTGATCACCTAATTTGCTTATGCCAGTAACGAATTAGGTAGTTACCAAAAACGTGTAACATCATAAAGTTCGCTATATAATATAACGAATTTGTACTGATGGCATATTTGAAAAATTTCACTATTAGTATGATATATTGAAAAATCTTTTTGAGAACAGTGGCATTGGTTACTGTCCCCAAAAGTCTCAATAGCTAAATTAATAAATGAAAAGGAAAATTATTGCAGGCAATCAGCCGTCAGTAATATATTAATATTATTTTGCTTAAAAAATATGGTGAACGAGGTTCACAAATTCATATTTGATTTAGTTTAATGTAACTGGACTTGGTGGCCCATCTTACAAATTGTGGGCTAAGCGGTTGGCCCATTTAATATAGCGTTTAACTCAATAATTCGATATAGCTTCTTAATTTAATTTTTATAAGATTTATATACTTTTTATGGCAGTATCAAAGTCTACTGTTTCTGTGTATGTAATAACAATGTACATGGCATTCACGTATATACTAATGAAATATTTTAGCTACATTAAATTTTAACTACTGTATAATTTTTTTTAAAAAAAAAAAAAAAAACTACTGTGTAAATTTTAGCTATTAAATTTTTTTGTTAATAGAGTTACTTCTAAGAACCAAACCGAAAACCATGGAGTGAACATATTTCGATCCTATTAGTAGTGGCAACCTTACTTACAAAAACATTTATATCTGATTCATCTCTATCTCCTCCCTCACATGCATAGTGATTTGAATGAATGGAGTATTCCTTGGAACTGAATCCAAAGCCCAAACAAACCTAAGTGCTTGTAATTCTTTGCTTCCAAACCACATAATCGGTGGAAGCTGAAACAGAAACCCACCCACCCCCCCAATTGCAATTAGCATATGAAGCAAGTTATTCTTAATCCAAATCCAAGTCTAATATCAAAGCATCACATGCAGTGAATGTGAATCCACAGTAGCTTAATCCCCGAAGCATCCTCTCACACACACACCGTGTTAATTTGTCCCCTCTAACTCACACTCCTTGATTTATATATTACATAATCGACCACAAGCTAGCATTGTGATTTGTGAGTTCCACTACGTACGTACTTGTCTAAACACAAACACAAACACAATCTCTAGTTGGAAAAAAAAAACATGTCGGACTGGGGCCCAATATTTGTGTCATTTGTGCTGTTCGTGTTGTTAACACCGGGCCTCCTATTTCAGTTACCTGGTCGATCAAGATATGTTGAGTTCGGGAATTTTCAGACAAGTGGTGCCGCCATTGTCATTCACTCACTCCTATATTTTGGTTTCATCTGTGTATTCTTGCTGGCTATTAAGGTCCACTTGTACCTCGGCTAATTCGTTCATATATCATTTTTATTTGGGGTATTGGAATTGAACTCTGTTCGGTCATGTTTCTGTTTTTCTTTTCTTTTCTTTTTTTTTCGCCGTTCTTATTTGTGTGTAATAACAACCGGGGCGTTCGTTCATGTGGTTGTATTCTTTTTTTCTTGCTTCCGAGTTTGTTCGATTGCTGTGCCTGTATTCAGTTTTTTCTTCTTAGAATGAATCCATGTACTTGATTTTAATTATCACTTGCATTTGAGATATTTAAAACAGAGTTCAACCCTGATATATCTGAATATATCATATAAGTGTGTGTTTCCGTTCATGTGGAGAATATGTTAATTTCGGATACTACAGCATATATTCAATTCAATTCAATTCAAGGCTTTATTTGATGTAATGCTGGACATAAAAATAAAAAATAAAATATAAAAGTTACAGAACTTGTGCAAAGTCACCACACAAGACCATGTTTGTTTCATTTTGATATTTAATTATTTCAAATTGCACGTTGTACTGGCTAGCTATGCTTGTATGTTCAGTAAACCGTAAACCCTAAATGAAATGGAAATATTCTTACATAAAATTAGTGTAGCTAAGTTAGGAGTATTAAATTAGTAAAATATTGACATTATTAATTCTGATTAAATAAATATTATTAGTTATTAGCGTGGTGGCTATTGACTAAGCTTTTTTCATGGTAAAACTTTCTATTACTGTCAAACATGTGGATCAACTAGTAATGAATTATTCTAACTTAATCAGTGATTTCAAATTTGAATCTAGATGTACTAAAATTTGATAAGAAAAGCTTTCTTGCCGTATGATGTTGCCTTACTCGAATTGGATTAATGGATGGATCTATGAATAATATTAAAATTTTTTTTTGACAACTTTCCACTAAAGTGGAGTCTTTCTTGTTCCACTACAAAACTTCCATCACAAGTTGAAAGCTTTTCACCACGCTAGAGTCCAAACAATTCTATTGTGGATAGAATAGAGGCGAAAACTTCATCAATCTCTTTCCCCCAAATAAAGTAACAACTTTTGGGGTGATGTTCCGCCGCAACCAATGCAATCTAATTGCATACACATTAAACTAAACTTGTTCAATAATCTCTCACAAATGGCGGTAGAAAATTTCTAGCTCTGGAGTCTAGAGCTATGAATTAAGAATTAATAAATACATTTTTTTAATTTTATGCAATAACATAAACGTTTGAACGATGTAACACTTCCTTTAAGAGAATTAATCCGGACTGATGAAACTGCTAGTCGGATAAAACCTTTATTAAAAAAAAAAAGGTAGAGGGGGAAAACTTTTTTAAAATGTCAAAGTTTCAAGAAAACAATAATTCATGTTGTGATATTCAAGTGTGATAAGTCTCACATTGATTGGTAATGAACTAAATGAAGAGTATATAAGTGAAAGGACCCATGAACCTAATGCCTTAAGGTCTTGGGTTGAGACATGGTGTCGGATCTACTTACTACGGTTGATTGTAGCTTAGCCCATTGGTAGTGTCCCCTGTCACAGGCTTCTCCCTGAACCCGCCTGATAGTGGGTATCAAAGTTGGGTTGAGCTATAGTTAGCTTGAGTATAAGTGGAAGGACCCACGAACCCAACGCCTTAAGATTTTTGGGTTAACGGTTGGTATAACTTAGCCATTGATGCGCGTGACAATTCAAACCACACGTACTCTCTCTACTTTGGCACTTTGAGATTTGTTCATTAAGTGTTGGGATTTCAGCTGTAGGCTATGAAACACCGAGACTTCAAAAATTCTGACGTGTCGTGTCCGACACTTTCCGACACTCCAATACTCATTGCAAAGACTAAAAAAGGGTTCAAAGGTTACGTTGCGTTGCATTTTGAGTTTCGACTATTAGATTTGTTGAATTACGATTACCATTTTATTGAGTTTAATATAAACATTTGAGATATCTTATATTTCTTTACAAAATTAATGGGTATTATAAGTGCAGCTTTATATTTTTATTAAATTATTGAATATTAAATATAATATAGACTACATAAATGAAAAATATTATATAGTATCAAAACGTGTCCTAACGTGTCGAAATTTAATATTTTTAAAATTAACGTGTCGGAGTATCGTATCGTATCGTATCCCGTGTCGGTGTCGGTGCAACATAAGTTGTAGGCATCATCACGTTCTAACTTAACATATTCTAAATGGAACGATTTATTACAATAATAGTTATATATTTTTTTGATAATCTAAGGGGGTTAACATCAATACCCCAAAGAGATCAATTCAATAAAATCATTTTGAAATTACAAGACAAAGATAAATCAGCCCAATACAAAGGCCAAATACCAGGGGAGGGTTTGAAAAAACACAAAAATTATTCTCAATAGTATAGTCTAAAGGATATTTAGAAAGCCAATCTGCACAACTATTTCCTTCTCTAAAAACATGAACCAGGTGAACTTCCCAATTCTCTTGTAACCATGCTTGAATCCGAGTCACTAAGCGAGACTCTCGAGCTGCTCTTCCACTGCTGGAGAGCAAAGTGATAACTGAGCTTGAATCACTTTCTAGGATGCAGCGTCTCCAACCTCTAGTCCAACCAAATTCGAGACCCTTGAGGACGCCCCATAATTCTGCATCAAAAGCTGAACAATGGCCAATATAGTTTGCAAACTCTTCTTTCCAATAACCATTTTCATCTTTTATAATTCCTCCACAAGCACCCATGCCATCACTCCTGGCTGCACCATCCGTGTTTAATTTCACTCAACCTGTGTCCGGAGGTAACCATCTAATAGGAACAGAAATGTAATTCTTGGTCAGCTTTGTCCCCTTAAAAGTTATCCAGGCTTGAGTATACTCACGGACCAGACTCTCAACGGACTGCACCTTGTATGCTTTCCCTTTTTTTCCACACCATGCACCTGATTGTTTCTCCACTGCCAAGCTAACCAAACAGTAACAGCAAAAACCAATACCAATGACCAGGGGGCATCAAAGCACAAAATAGATACATTTTGAATATTTAAGGAAAGCCAAGAATCTAAATTAGTATCAAAGAAATCATTTATCAAAATTGGCCTCAAAAGATCAGACCAAACTTTTTTAATCTTAGGACAGTCACGTGCCATATGAATAATGGATTCTTCATGAAAATTACAAATAGGACAGCTAGGAAAACACAATCTAAAGTTAGCCAGGAAGCTCCTAGTTGATAGACGATGATGAGCAGTCTTCCAACGAAACAAACTTATCCAATTGGGCCTATTTAAATTCCAAATGGTTGACCAGAATTTTCTGTCAATACCATTAGAATTATTCTAATTTAGCAATGTAAAATAAATATTTTTCACAGAAACTTCATCTGATCCAATTAAATTCCACCATTTTCTGTCCATACCATTAGATTCATAAGGAGGCATTATGCTTCTAATAATTTGAACACAATCATCAGGAAGAAAATTAGATATATTCTCATAATCCCAAGTTTCATCATGAGTAACATAATCAATTACTCTCTTAACAACCTATGTTGGGGAAATTTGAGTAATAGTTCTGTTTGCAAGTTTTTCTCCAATGTTTACCCAATGGTCCTCCCAAAATAGAACAGAAGATCCATCACCCACATCCCAAACCAACTTGGGTTTAAGCTTATTCCAAACATCACACATAAATTTCCAAAGACGAGAATTACCATTCTTCCAAGTTAAATCAGTCTGATTATTGGATACATTTGTGTACTTAGCTTTTAGTACCTTCACCCAAAGCTGATAAGGATCATTAACAAAATTCCAAACTAGTTTTCCCAAGAAAGCTTCATTCATTACTTGGAATTTCCTCAACAATAGTTATATTTTAAATATTAATTGAGATAATTTTAAAGTTTATAGTAATGTCAGTTTTCAAAAAGTTTGAAGTTCAGATAAATTAATGTTCTACAAAAAAAAAATAACTCAGTAGTTAAAATATATGATTTTTAATTCAAATTGCATTAAAACAAACTGTGGATGGATGGTTTTACCTCCGCTCTCCAAGCTCCATTTTTTTTATACATGAATATGATCAATTTAAATATCTTAAGTTGATTGGAAATCGACACACAAATAAAAAAATAGAAAAGAGAAAGAGAAGAGAAATTGCACACAACAATTTACTTTGATTCACCAAATTAATATAAATTACGTCCAGCTTGTCTATATTATATTTGTCTTATTGACATTTGTTACAAATCACTCAAGTTGCAAGAAAATATAAATAGAATTTAAATTTTTTTACCAATAATTATTCATGGATCCAAATTTAAATTACTAAGAAAATAATAAATACAATAACTTAATAATAAGTCAGAGACCCACGATAATATTAAATCTATTAGAGTAGAACCGAGTTAACTTTATGCTGAATTCACTAACAAATTTTTTCATCTATGGCATGCCACTTTAATAAAAGGTCATTTCAATAGCTAGATTGAGGATATGCTGACACGTTATGGTCTCGTTAGCACTAATCTGCAAGGCACCCCACCGACTATATGACACAGAAAAACACTTCACAAACTACTTTTTCTTAAGTTTCTTTAGTTGATGCTCTCTTTTTTTCCCTGTCATTTATTCCTTCCTTCAGTTACCCTCAATTCATTGCCTCAGACTCAGATCAGAATCATTCTATAATTTCCTATTTAATAAGCTAATAGAGACACACAAAATTCATTGAACTCTTAGTACTGAAGGGTGAATATTGGTGATCACTATCAGGTTGTACATAGTTTATACACTAACATATTTATTTGTTGTGAAAGAGCTAGCAATTTGTGAAAAGGTGATGGCGGATTGGGGTCCAGTGGTGATAGCAGTGGTGCTGTTCGTGCTACTAAGTCCAGGGTTGCTGTTTCAGCTTCCTGCGAAGGGTAGGGTCGTGGCGTTTGGGAGCATGCAAACTAGTGGGGTGTCTATCTTGGTCCACACCATCATCTTCTTTGGACTCATCACCATATTTCTACTTGCTATTGGTGTGCATATCTACTCTGGATAATTAACATCCTCATCATTGGCTTTTTTATTTTATTTTATTTTATTATTATTCTGATTTAAATTATTTATGTTGTATTTCTAAGATGTAATAAAGGATTGGTGACTTTCTTCTATCATTTCTCTTCCACATGGAATATTTTATGTGATTCTCTTTACTACTGAATTAAGAAAAGTAGATGAGTGTTTGAAATTCTAGAAGGGCAGGGTACAATATTGGATTAGATTAGATTAGAATGGAATCCTTTAAACTCTGTTTCTGGTATCAATATTCGTGTTTTGCTCTATTATTGGCTGTTGTATTTTTTGTTGCTTTCTTGAACCAAATTACAAATGGATCAATTTGTAGTCACTTGGGTTTTATGCTACGTTTGGATTCTTCAGTCTTTTCTTCTCTTAGAAGAATTTTCATCTTTAATTGAACACAGCATCATACAGTCACACTTACACTTGACCAATTGTTACACCTCTTTGTTGTATTTACATTTAATATTAACTGGTTGAACCTAGGGTTCAATTCTCAACTGACGCAAATTCATCTAGAAGTAGTTTCTTTTTGTCATCACGGATATTCTTCAAACCCCTATCTCCCTTTATACAAGAGCTTCCACAGTCAAACAATAATTGAACGTATCAAATTTGGTGGTGTTACGCTATTCATCTAGCTTTAATTTCTCTCTCTCTTTTGACCTTTTCATTCCTTACCCCATTGGACATAAAATAAAAATAATTTCTAAATTTTTTACAGCTTTATACTTTTTTATAGGGAGTTTTTATTTTTAAATTAAATGATAATAGCACTTAAGAAAAAAAAATATTATGACGAATCGACAAAATTGCTTAAATAACAATATAGAAACTTCCTCGAACATAATTATATATTTGGAGAGGACCACGAGATATTTACTCATTCTTCGGATGTTAAATAAATTAATCTCCACTGGTGTACCAAAAAATAAAATAAATTAATCTCCACTGCAACATACTTTACCTTTGTCAAAAGATGATTTTGAATGGGATTTGAATCCCTTATTTACCGATATTAAATTAAGTTTACTAATGGTTACAATAGTATAGATATAGATTTTATCCCATTTAGTATGAATTTTTCAATCAAGGTATGTTTAGGAATGTTTAGGCAAATTAATCCACCGCAGATTTTGAAGGTTAGTATATAATTAGGGTTTTGTTTTTATCATGTTACATAACAAGTTTTTGAAAAGCAAACAGGAAACATAAAAACAAAAAAAGAAACTAGGAACACCTCCTAGACCAAACTACTCCTACATAGTCCCTTTCAAGTTTGTCACGACAACCAGAAGGAGGCGAGTCAAACTCTTGTAAAGACCAATCAAAGGAGTAGGCAAAAGAGGCCATCCAATCGGCAACCCCATTCCCTTCCCTATGAATATGGGAAATTCTAACCCTCCAATTCCAATCCAGCATATTCCTTATGCGCAAGACCAAGTTAGAGGCTGGATGATGAGAGCTGCACCCTTCTCTTATGAAAAACTGGGCTACTAAGGAATCACCTTCAAGCCAGACAAAACGGAAACCTTTCCTCCATGCAATCTCAAGCCCAAGGAGACAACCCCAAAGTTCTGCTAACAAAACATTACCACAACCAAGATTTTTACAAAAGCCAACAAGCCACCTTCCACTAGCATTCCTAAATACACCCCCACAAGCAGAAGCTTCTCCATTATTCATACTTGACCCATCCACATTGAGCTTAACCCAAGGGTCCGAAGGAAAAACCCAAGAAACTAATTTCTCTTTATTCGAGTTAGTCTCAAGACCAGCAACCCGAAGCGTGTTTTCTGACCAAGAAAAATCTTCACCATAGACCATAGCAGCTCTAAAAGTGCCATAAGCAGGAACATAAGATCCCTGAAAAATTTTCTTATTCCTAGCTTGCCAAATGAAACAGGAAATGATACCAAACAGAAGAGGCCATGATGGCAAATTGGACCAATTACGATCCTCAGAGATATTGGACAACACCCATTGCTGAAGATTAAGAGAGAAAAAATCCTCCCAAGCCTCTCGCTTAACTGCAATCTCCCACACTTTTTTTGCTGCAATACAATCTCTAACCGCATGTAAGGAAGTTTCCGTAAAACAATTGCACAGATGACATATATCTGAACCCGCCATGTGCCGTCTGCAACGCCTTTCATTTGTCAAAATTTTATCTCCTAACAACAGCCAAAGGAACGTACGAATCCGTCCAGGTCCATGCCACTGCCAAACGCGATTCCAAGGTAAATTGGTAGATTCCTCGTTACCCCTGGATATGGCCATATAAGCGGACTTCAGCGAAAAACTCCCATCAGATGTCCTTGTCCACAAAATTCGGTCATGACCATTAACATCCGAAGGAGGAAGGATGTTATTAATACGAGCATTGACGTGATCGGGAAGACTATGCTGGAAAGCCCCCCACATCCAACTTCCGGAGGATGAGACAAGATCAGAGACCATTAGCTGATGATTTATCTGAGAGGGATCAGAAATAGCAGCATAGGATGAGAGTGCACCACAACCCGGAACCCACGGGTCATCCCAAGTTAACAAGTTAACAACAAATCATTTTCCTACACATTTATGATTTATGTGGAGTTCATTAAATAGTGAAATGAGAAAAAAATCAAAGATAAAACCCAGCTTAAATTATGTGTATAAAAAAATTGATTTGTATGACAAATCATTTATCCATATAATTATTAGGCCGACCAAATATTATCTTAGAATTTTGTCGTATGTGACATATAAGGGTTTTAGCTTTCACTATTCTCCGCCCCCTTTTACACGGGTTTTTTATTTTTAGAATTTACCTCAATAGTAAGTTCTCATTTGAACCAAAAAAAAGTATCAAATATTGGGTGTGTGTTTTTATGTGACATAATGATAAAGTGTGTGAGATTGTTACAATACTTGACTTTGCTAAGTCCCATTGCATGAAAACGGGACTGGTTTTTCTTTTTGGTACGCGACCAAATTAAATTCTGCTGGATTAGTAACGGTATTCAAATGTGACATCTCGAAAATTAATCGAGGCATATGAATGAAATTTTTGGTAAAAAATAACAATATGATCGTTGTCCCCAATGTGACTAACGTGGAGGGAAATAAATCTATTTAGCTAGTAAAATAAGGATTATAAAATAATCATTTTTTTTTGTATAACCTGGAGGTATCTTCATTCAACCTTCGGTCACCTTGCTCTCGGGGTACGACCCTGTAGGCTATCTCTTTATTGGAACAGCGGGTGCATTAAACTTCGCTACCGGAGGAAGGATGAGACTAATCAACAACTAAAATGATTATAAAAGCTTTAAATAAAAAAAAATATCACACTTTCCTGGGAAGCCAAATAATTGGGTTGCAGAATCAACCGGGAGAAGGGACGTAAAGGCTTTGCAATTTGTGACTATGAACCACATAGATAGATGTCTTCATTAGAAGTGAAAATTTCTTTCAGCACCTATGGACTATGGTATTACCTTTTCTTGCATATTTCATCACATATGGTATTATTTTGATGGAAAAAGTGTCTATGATCATTTTTTTTTTTTATAATAAAAGTGTCTATCATTTTAAATGATGTAAAATTGTGTCATTTTAAGTGAGAAAAAGAGATAGATAAAGGAGAAGAGAGAGTGAACAAAAAAATATAAAGGTGTAGGTCCCATCTCTTTATGAGAATAAAATGACACAAATTGTGTCATTTTAAAAGATAAACACTTTTTCCTATTTTGATAAACCATTATTTATTTATTTTTATATAAATGAACTGGGCCTAGAGTTAGATAAATATGCAGCCTTATTTGTGTGTATGTGTTTGTCTTACCAGATTCCAAATTACAAAACTTGAATATTATTTTAATAAAGCTTTAATTTTTACCGTATATATATTGATTTAGGGCTATAATATAATCTTGTAAAAAAAGGGGCTATAATATAATAATTATGCAACTTTATAGTAAATGTTAGCGTGAGCAAAGTTTTCATTTTTTTCATTAGAGGCCTTATTGAAAGATTTATAAATAATCGTTTTTAACTTGCTCCATTAATTATATAACAGAAAAATATTTCTGAAGTTAATGCAGATAAGTTATCTGTATTTATTTCCAAAACGACGTCGGGACTGAAAGATTAGAAAATTATAATTATAAAGACTATAATAACCCTGAAATAAATTAAAATTATAAAAATACCATAATTTTTGCCCCAAAATGATGTTGTATTGGGCTTACTGCAGATAACTTATGTGCAATAACTGCAGAAAAAACAAACTCTTTATATAAATAGGTTTATTTATAATTTGAGAAGCTATCAAGATAGCTAAGAAATTCGAAAATTAATGTTTAGGTTAATGTAATGTATGCACCAGTTAACTCAAGATTGGTTGCTATCGGAACAAATGGGTTATTGCATTTGCTTCGTAGATCCTTTCATTTATATTTTTTTCATTTAGTTCATTATTAATCAATTTACTGTTCCATCCTAATAATAACACAGTTTCAATTTTTTCCTTATGAATATTAAAGGATGTATAATGTGGAGAGTCATGATTATAATTATGAAGTCCATCATTTTCATATTCAGGGAGTTATGGAAGCTCTATTACGATATTTCCTTTCCATTGGACAGTAAAGCATAGCAATAAAATTTTATTAACAAATTGCATTTCAGTCACTAGAATTTTCAAGATGATATACTTGGCAATTTCCTAGGTGGTTTTTTGTTATAGATATTGGGTTAAAGAGGCCTGGAGTCGTATGGGTTTCCTGGTTCTTATTAGGCCTTTGGCCCATTAAAACAACTGGGCTGGGAGAAATACTCTGGCCCACGATAGCAGAACTCAATCTGCGGAACAGCATGTGAATAACGGGGGTATTAGATATTTTATTTTTGTCCACTTGTCTTTAATAACTAAGAAGCATATATAAATTAGTGTACCAAAAAAAACAAGGCATATATAAATATTCACAATGTAATTAAGAATGACACAATCACTCTGAAGATTAGTGGGTGTTCTCATGGCTTCCACTACACTACAGGAATTCTCTTTGAGCTTTTTCCGATTCCTTTTTCTGATCATAGTTGTCAGTACATTCTCTTCTTTGAGATCAACTTCGTCGGCAAAGGGGTTCTCAGTAGAGGAGGCAACCGTGCATGATCTCCAACTTGCTTTCCAAAGAAACCAATTAACCTCTAGGCAACTCGTTGAGTTCTACCTCAAACAAATACAAACCCAAAACCCAGTTCTTAAAGGGGTGTTGGAGGTTAACCCAGATGCACTAGCACAAGCAGACACAGCTGACCAAGAGAGAAAGGCTAAGGCACCAGGGTCTCTTTCAGGCTTGCATGGAATACCAATTTTGCTTAAGGATATCATTGCAACTAAGGATAAGCTGAACACCACTGCAGGCTCTTATGCACTGCTTGGCTCTGTGGTGCCAAGAGATGCAGGTGTAGTTTCCAAATTAAGGAAAGCTGGGGCTATCATATTAGGGAAGGCCACCCTCAGCGAGTGGTCACATTATAGGTCAAATGGTTTAGCACCTAATGGATGGAGTGCCAGAGGTGGACAGGGAAAGGTAATTTGATTCTTGTCCTTAATCTGAGCATGGTCTTGCTTTACAAGTCACATCTATCTCCGTTTAAAATTTTTCTCATAGCATGTTATTCTTAACCTTGATGTATTTGTTATGCCAATAGTAATCTTTTATATATTTATATATCAAATGTTATGAAGTCAATATAATTATTGTACAGTTGACTACTTATTTTGCTATATTTAGACGCTACTCAGCATTTGCCTAATTGAAAGGCTATATAGAAAATAGCTGCATGATTATACCTTGACGTGAATGGTTGTAAAAATTCAAGAGTTAACCATGTGATATGTGTTCTACAGAATCCATACACAATGGGTGATCCCTGTGGGTCCAGTAGCGGATCAGCAATATCTGTTGCAGCAAATTTGGTGGCAGTGTCCCTTGGTTCTGAGACTGATGGTTCCATTTTATGCCCTTCATCATTTAATTCATTAGTGGGCATCAAACCAACCGTTGGTCTCACAAGTAGAGCTGGGGTAATTCCAATCAGCTCAAGACAAGACACGGTTGGGTAAGTTCATGGCAATGGCTTTTTCATTTTCTTTTTTGCAAGCACAATTTCCAGAGTCAAATTGATATTTTGCTATAACATACTTGGAAAATTATGTGGGCTGGTACAGACCAATTTGCAGGACTGTATCAGATGCTGCTATTGTTCTTGAAACCATTGCAGGCATCGACACTAATGATCAGGCAACAATTGAATCATCAAAGTATGTCCCCACAGGTGGCTATTCTCAATTTCTAAAGGAAGATGGGCTAAGAGGAAAAAGATTAGGAATAGTGAGATTATTCTACAACTTTGGGAATGATACTTTTCTTCATGAAACTTTTAAGCTACACCTAAAAACAATAAGGTAATGAAAATTTCTATTTGTGTCAACTATCACTGCTAATGAAGGCTTAGTCTGTCTCATATGATTCCTTCAAACTCAGGGAAAAGGGTGCAATTTTGATTGACAATTTGGAGATAGATAATATTGATGAAATTCTTAGTGGTACGAGTGAAAGTATTGCTTTGGAATTTGAAGTCAAATTATCCTTGAACGCATATCTTAAAGACTTAGTTGCCTCCCCAGTGAGAAGCTTGGCCGATGTGATAGACTTCAATAAAAATCACTCAAAATTGGTAAGTATGTGAGAAGGACACTTTTGTTTATTTGGTGATGGTTAATACAAATATTACAAACTTGAGAGTGGTATGGAAATTACAGGAGAAACTTGTTGAGTACGGCCAAGATCTCTTGTTGCAAGCTCAAAAGACAAATGGAATTGGGGAAACACAGAGTCAAGCATTATTAAATATGACAAGATTGTCACAAAATGGATTTGAGAAACTAATGATAAGAAATAAACTTGATGCGGTGGTGATACCTTTTTCAAGATTTAGTCCTGTACTTGCTATTGGAGGTTACCCTGGAGTAATTGTTCCAGCAGGATATAAAGAGAGTATGCCATTTGGAATTTGCTTTGGAGGTTTGAAAGGTTCAGAGCCAACGCTGATTGAAATTGCTTATTCATTTGAGCAAGCAACTAAGATTAGGAAGCCTCCTCCACTTCCAGAGTTAAAGGTGAGTATTGTCTTACGGTTTATAAAATAAAATATTTTGATAGAGTAAATGGTAGAATAAGTGGTATGTACTGCTCTTCTCAGCAAAAAAATTCTTACTAGTAATAAGTTCATTGCAATCTTGTTCTTGTTACTTTTATTTTGGATATTGCATGAATTTAACTTAGTTATGAGTTAATTTATTTGTCATAAATTTTTACTTTATTTTCTTTTGACAAACTACAAGTATCTTTCACGGGAAGACAATTTGTTCGAGTGAGGAACATCCAAATCATGGCAGGACCAATTCTCTCAAAGGAATTTACTTTATTTTCTAATATTTAATAAGAGTACTTATAAAATTTGTTATTTAGCCCATGTTGTGATTAGTGGCTATGATTATGAACCTCCTAGATGGTGTGGAATATTCCCCTATTTGTACGAACCTTAGTTTTTATATTGCTTTTAGCTATTTGCCCTTACTGAATTGCTTCAAAATTCGTTTCCTGATTTCTATCCAAAAACTTAACTTGACATCTACTGCATAAAGTTGTTCTTTAATTTATAATCTTTTTTGTGTGAGAATTTTAAGTATTGATGTATTGAAGATAGAGAATATTTTTAAGAAGAATAACTAGTTGTAATTTTATTTTATGCTCCAAGAAATATAAACATTATTTTGATATTGTATGCATGTGATATCCAAATTTAAAGTCCGTTGAATATCAAAACAAATTTCTCTTTATATAACTAGAAGGATAAGGCCGTAGACATGTCATCATATGAACGGACTTCGATTGTGCGGAGTGTCACCAAGGTGTTAACCAGAGATGGGGTGATTCTGCATGCCTTCAGAGAAGGCAATGAACGTCATGATATCCAATTATGGAGGGTTAGAATTGACTTTAAGAAAAGATAAATTCTTGCTTTTGCGATAATAATACTTGATGTAATGTTATGACATTCTGTTGGGGAATAGATTTTTTTCACGTGTTTTTACATAATATATGGTTATGTTAAGGGTGGTAGCCACAGACACTATTTATGTTGATGTATGTACAGCAAACCAATAAGAGCATGTCATGTCATTTGCTTTTGTAGTGAAAAGAAAAAGAAAATCACTTTTATATTTACACTATATATTATCGGTAATATATAGTGTAAATACCAATGTCGCACCTATTTGTTGGTGCTAACGTAGTACCCAAAATTCGTTCCTCCGCTACATAACAAAGTGTCAATTTAAAATGGTTGGACCCATTTCATGCCAACCACTATGGGTCAATCAAATACAAGCTAAACTCCATTAATTAGGTCTAGGATAAAATTTTACGACGATTTCATGGTAGGCTTAATAATTATATACCAACATTCAACGTCAATGAGGTGGCCATGTCGGTTCATAAAAATAAAAGTATACTGTGTGTCAAACTAATATGCCACTATAAGCTAGGTCACGATTTTTCCACGCGTGAATGATACATTGATCTTGCCTCAGGCGTGACTGAGTGCAAAAAATTTATAAATTGATTTAAAATACTTATATTTTTATAATTTTTTATTAAAATAACTATTTACATTTTTTTTTCCGGTATGTATACGACATCTTTGATTTTCTTGATTCACATCCACACTTAAACCCAGCCCACCACTGATTTGAAAACCCCCTTACCCTATAGTTAAAACAGAAAAGTAGGTGATTGACTTATTGTTTCCTTATCCCATTTTATAATCATATTGCTTCTTTCTTTCTTTTTCTTTTTTTAAAGAAAAAACCATCCTGTCTCCAAATAACATGGTGTTCATATTAGTATATTACTTACTATTTTAGGGCATCTATCATTTGTGGCACCACAAAAATTATCTCCCTCTCTTTTTTTTTTAATATACCAACCGTGATTATCTCTGAGACAAATAGACTCTGTTACAGCATGATGGTATAACACGTTAATTCTAAAAAGACATGACCGTATAATACGTTAATTTTAAAAAATATTAAATTTCAATATATTAGGACATATTTTAATATTAAATAATCTTTTTTAATTTATATAATATATATTATATTTACTATTCAATAATTTAATGAAAAAATAAACTAAATTTATAATACCCATCAATTTTGTAAATAAACATAAAATATTTTAAATATTTATATTAAACTCAATAACATAATAATCATAATTCAACAAATCGAATAATTGAAACTAAAAACAAACAGAACCTAAACTTTGAATCCTTTTTTAAGTCACTGTAATGCCTGTTGGAATATTGAAGAGTATCGGACACAACCGATAATATATAGTGTAAATATAAAAGTGATTTTCTTTTTCTTTTCACTACAAAAGCAAATGACATGACATGCTCTTATTGGTTTGCTGTACATACATCAACATAAATAGTGTCTGTGGCTACCACCCTTAACATAACCATATATTATGTAAAAACACGTGAAAAAAATCTATTCCCCAACAGAATGTCATAACATTACATCAAGTATTATTATCGCAAAAGCAAGAATTTATCCTTTTTTAAGTCATCATAACTCGCACAATATCCCCACAAACTTGAAGAGACTCTCCCTTTCTGCATTACATGATGGAGCCCTCTCATTACATTGTAGAAAGTAAAAAACAGAAAACGATAGAATGAATACCAGCCTAAAAAACACAGAATACTCCTTTATAAAATCTGAATAAAACAACGTTAAGCCACACCAATACCAGAGACAAACGCAACAGCTTATTAATAAATACTTTATAGCGACCATCTGATCCTGAATTGGCTTCTTCCTTTACAACCCTTTCTCATGAGTCAAATAATCTTTCCCCCTCTTTCTATAGAACATATACCATGTTTGAAAATGGAAAAAAGAGAAAAAAGAAGGAAATTCAAAAGCCTATAATTCAAAATTTACAAATGTTATAATATAGATAAATAAAACAATTGATAGCAGCAGAAGGAAGCAGGAAACAACGCTATTTGTAATTAAGGCTGAAGTCATATCCACAAATTTTGTTAACTTAAGCAAAAGCCTGTTATCCACGATTCCTGCTTCTTAGGAGAAGTTCCATAATCTTCACACTGCTCAATTCCATTATTTATCTCTTTACAAAAGCTTCCACTCTGCAACAGCAAAAATTTGAAATGAAGCTATCAGGCTCATGATCCAACCAAAAAGAGCAATGCATGAACCGCACAGATAAGTAAAAATTAAACAGCAGAAATTGTGAACACAAAACAGGCTACTATTGAAAACCATGCAAATATGTTATTTGAGGCAAGCTTCTATAAGGACTACTACATGATTTGTTTTTCAAATTGGAAGCTCTTAACAGTAGCTTATATGGGCTATGAATCAAAGCCAGGCAATGCTAGAATGTACGAACTTAGCCAGACTCGAGCAACATTAATGTACCAGCTTCAATCATATAAGAGGGCCAAAAAACAACAGGTGCAAATTTTTTTTTTTAATATTGCAGATCCAGCCTTTCATTGAAAAAACCATCCAACATTTCTATCTTTTCATAGTTATCCGAAGCCATATAAGAAGAAAGTTTATCCCATTCTCATTATTTTCACTCTGCTTACTCCCAATAGAATTTGAACCTAGAACTTTTACAATGGGGTTCTCAACCATACAAGAAAAAGAAAACTAAAATAAACTAAAATCATGAACGAATAAAACTTTAGCACAAAGTCGTTTATTGTTACACTGCTAGCCTGCTACATCCTTTCAGATTATAGCAAATTCAGTATCTACATCATAGTGAACTGTAGCTAACCTATCCGTGATATGGATATTGCAAATTCCATAACTGATGTGGTGGTGATACGGGGAATCAATCTTGCAAATGCAGCAATACATGTCTTCCAACCTTGATTTTAAAGAATACGAACATGTAAATGGGTATAACTTCAACAAATTTTTCCATTTTCTATTCCAATCCTATCCACTTGTTGGTCTTTAATTTAGAGGCCAAAGAAGTAAAGATTAAAGGAACTTAGGACTTGCATCCTGAATCTTTAACAACACAGCCAATGAAGGCACAAAAGTAACATGTTACCAAGTGGACTTTTTACTTTTAACCCTGATAAAGCTCAAACAAACCAGGGGTGAGAAGAAATATAACATTGCTGAAGGCCAAACCAGAAATCTTAAATTCTTAATCTTAATCAATTTGAAAGGTCTACTGCTAGAACAAAAGAATTAAGATAAGAAAAAAAAAATTCAAATAACAAGGTTACAATACCTTAAGCCAAAATTTCGGAAAAGCTAAATGCACAGACGGTGCGTGAACAGGAACCAATCGGACGAGTAAATCAATGGTCTAAAATTTCTTAAGCAATAAGTGATGTGGCGGGTAAAACATGGTTATTCATTGATTAAGCTTTATGAATACTTTATAGAGAGCGAGCCAAGAGCAGCGGTTGGTTGTTCCTTGTAACCGAAAGATCACGGATTTGAGTCTACAGCTTCTTTGTAAAAAAAAATGGAAGAGTAAGGCTACCTAAAATCGACTTTCACTCTTATCCTCCCAAATCGGGAGCCTTGTGCACCTGGATTTGCCTCCAAGCTTTATGAAGAAGACTTTGTAATGCATTTTTATTGCCTCTAAGCTTTATGGAGAAGACTTTGTAATGCATTTTGATGTGCATATACCACTGCTCTCAAAATTAATTAAGTTATGAGTTTCTCCTAAAGGTCTGATATCAAGTTTAAGACCAAGTCTCCACCAAAAACTAAACCTATTAGGTAAAAGGCGAAAATAATGATTTTTTCTCTCCCCCAAATATCTCTAACATGAACTAATTATGCCATCTACATACATGTTTCTTAAAAATACATCACTCTGCATATTTTTCCGAATATGTAGAGGGTTACTCACAAGTAATCAACACAAATTTCTCTAACATGAAATTTTCTTTTCTTTTCTTTTAATAAAAAGGTATAAAGTCACAAACCACACCAAAACGGATTCAAACAACATGATATTAAGAAAGAAACAGCAAATTATTGCATCAAGAGAGTAAAATTTGGTATTCTTTCTTACCAGGAAGATCCTTGCGCGGCGTAGCGTAACAAAGAACGAAACGCCACATGACAGAGAGAGAGGAAAAGATGCCAGCAACGTACAACACCATCACCAATCCAATAACCCACGGCATCAGCATAAACCCAATGAAGAAAGTAACCGATCCACAAAGCATCAGGGCAACCGAAATCCCCAGTAACAGCGACGCAAACCCCGCCGGAGTTATCGCCGCCGAACGCCTCAGCGGCGATTCCGAAGGAGGCACCGGCACGACCGGAGCACGATCAGAAAAAGACAACGGCGTCGGATGAGACCGGATGAGGTTGAAAGCGAGAGCCGACAGCTCGCACAAAAGCTTCGATTGTTGATCTTGTTGTTCCCTCATCATGTCGTCTTTTTTTTCTTGTCGAAAATCCGAGGGAAAAACAAAAGCTATAATATGTGGAAGAAAATTTTTGGTGGAAATGATTTTAATTTAAATAAATAAATAAATAAAAAGAAAATGGTATTGGTAGAAACGAGGTAAATGGATAAACTCAGAAATTAAATGTGATTTACATGTGGGAAGTTGCAAGTTGTAACGTAACGCTTTTGTTTGATTGTTAAGAATCGATGATGTTCGCTTTTTTCTTTTCCCCTTTTACAGGGGTTAAAGATAAAGGAAGATAAATGAGGTTGCAACAGAGAAAAAACAAAAAGGGTTTGCTTGGTTGCGTTCTAAGAATGAAATATGTTGCGTAACGTTTGGTTTTTTGGTTTTGAGTTTTTAAGAGTTTTGACGTAAGATGAATGGGTAATTAAATAGATGATGTGCTGGTAGGTACACCACGTCATAGCTTGTAATAATGCATAATGAATAAGTTAGACTTGGTGGTGGAGCGGTTATGGTGGAAATTAGTACTTTATGTGGGGACCTCGTGACCTGGACCTTATCTTCTTAGGTATTTTAATTTTTGTTCGTAACTGCGTTACTCTTTTTTTACATTTAAATAAGTTGTAATTCTTTATCTTCTAAATATCATTTTTATTTAAGAATTAGAACTATTCTTAATTCTATACTTTTTTTTTTTTAATATGCTATTCTGTCAGTTCCAAGTATGACTGTATTTGGGTTTTAGTAAAGAAAAGTTCAAAGCAAGCTCGTGTTGGTACATCATAAACAGAAACAATTTAACTCCTAACTTAGTTTTTTTTTTTTAGTACCACCTAACTTTAGTTTTTCATACCCTGTTATTTGGCATCCGGAATACTCTTAAATTTTTTGAAAGTATGAGACAAAAATAAACGTTTTTTTATATCTAGCATGAGAAATAAAAAATATTCAAAAATAAAATTTTGGAAATAAGGGAGAAATATTTTATTTCCATTTTCTTAGGTGGAAATAAAACATTCCGGTTGCAATGATTTTTTTTTTCTTACTAATTGAATTATTAAATTATCCATCGAGTCTATTTTTTCTTGAAATCATTAATTGTTTCGCATTTTTTGGGATCTTATTTTGTATTATTTTTTTCTAATTTTTTTTGTTCACCCATTTTTCATTTTTCATTTTATTTTGTTTTGATGGAACAAATTAACCTATCTACAATTATATTATTTTAAAGGTTTAATGTTTATGTTTTTCTGGTAGAATTTTTTTTTCTGACACATATAAATATGAATAAGTCTTATTATAAAGAAGAAAAAGAAAAAATATCAATGAGATGAGATCTTCTCACTTTTTATGTAGTCGCAGAATAACTTTTTATACGCAGAATCATTTTTCTTTATTATAAACTTTAAAAGTCGTTTTACGTGCAAAAAAATGTAGCTGCACACACAGTTGAAGATATTATTCATCAGAACCTAGGTTGTAAGCCCCTTTATCATTAAAAATTGAAAGGTGAAGTACTATTGATTTTTTTTTCTTCTTCTATGGAACTTTCTTTTATATATATATATATATATATATATATATTGAGTTGGTAATCATAATTCTTAATTTTGTATTACCTTATTATGATTATTTTTATTAAATCAATACGTCAGGTTTGCTGAACACTCATTATGTAGAAGTTTGATAAGTTTTAAAAATGTTCACTTTTTGTAAAAACTTATCTTATGTTTCTAATTTAATATACATATACCTGAATTTTTCAAGTATAATTTTTTTTTTTGTCAAGTGAGTTTTTTCCGTATAATTTCATTTTCTAAAGATGTCATATTTAAATTCTTGCTTTTATTCGGAGTTTTATCATACACAGGCATCATGATTATAATACCTATTGTAGGTACATGTGTTATTTTATTTATTTTTATATTTATTAATGATATATTAAAAAACTTAATTATATTTTAGAAAAATATCATTTGATAAATCATGAAAATAAATTTTTAGTTAATGATTTAATATACTATTTTAAAAAAAGATGAATAATAGTTAGAAAAAAAGTCAACAAAAAAAAAACGCTAAAGTGGTTCTTTTTCTTTCTATGGAAATCAGTATTACTCTTTCCTTCGCGGCAAAACGTGCTCTTTACTAACATCCCAGATTCCAAACAAAGTCCAGAAGAGCTTTATGGGGGCGTTTGATGCCAGTATTTTTTAGGATTATCGAAAACTGAATTTTTTAAATTTTTAATTTTTGAATATTATCGTAAATTAAATATTTTTATTATATTTTTAAAAATTAAAATTTTCGGATAAAATTTTTTTTCTCCTCTACCAAATGCTCCCTTAGTAATAATATCAATTTAAGTTTTGGTTTTATCTCTCAAAAACTTCCCCCTAATAATTCTTATACCGAAAATTAAAATAAAAAATTGCTAAGGAGGAATTGTAATGTTACAAAAATAAAAAGTTTAAATTGTTTAGAATAATAATTAAATTTACTCAATAAACAAAAATAATATTATGAAAAAATTTACAAATGATTGTTGTTTATTAATGAGTGATTATTCATTCTTATTGATGACTATTGCTTATTATATAACTATTTTTCTTTTCGAATAGTTATTTGTTTTTACTAAGTGACTAAACGAATGTAAATAAAATTTTATATTAGTTTTATGAGTCAAGAAAAATTACAAATGACTTGAGACGGGAAAAGTTGCATATTAATATTAAAATATATAAAATTAAAGCTTGTCAGCAATAAAATAATAAGCCCCATCTCACATCAATATTTAATGAAAAAATATGTGTCCTTACAGAATATATAAGTTTATGTCTTTTCACTTCTTAATATTTTGGGAGTATATATTATAATATGAAAATTATTTTTTTTCTCCCTTTATAAATTTTTCGGCTTGTTACGTAGAAAGAGAATTTTTATTATTATAATTATTTACTTTTCAAAATATTTTATTATGGGATAAAAGGACATAAAACTCACAAAAACTCAATATATAAATTGGCTATTAAAGGAATCAAAAACTCACAAAAACACATGACCATTGACTATTTACATGCAACCTTTTTCATTCTCCAAACCAAAACAGAATTGTCACTGCTTTTCTTTTGTTCCTTTCTTGTATTCTCATAAACTCGTTGCACGTGTTCCTATTGGAGGGATAAAAAATTTGTACTCCCAACCCACTACTAATTCAGTGGTCCTCTCTATCTAAATTGGAAAAATGTAATTTTATTTAGTTTTTTTTTTATAATTTTCTCCTAATTCCTCTTTTTTTCTATTTTTAGAAATGCTATCGGAGAAAAAAAAACAAAAAACTCTCCTATTGGAGACGCTGACACTATAAATTTTCACAGCATACGTGGATGCACAAACATGTGTCTATATATAAGCTTTCTGGAAAGGTTAGCCAACTTGGATACAATAAATTTCTTTCTCGCACTTCCTCGTTCGAGAGGGTGCAATGGAAGCACATGTTTGGTAAATAATTCCTGGCCCTTCTTTTCTTGCTCAGGTTAGAAGAGGGCTACTCACAAAACTTTAAGCAACTCAAATGATAAAAGGCGGCTTAGATTAATTAGATCTGTGAATTATATTAGGTTCAAAATTACTCAATCAGTGTTGGGTATGACTCATACTTCGCACGCTGATGAAGATCCTAATTATCGGGGTCAGCAGAAAGACAACTGGGGAGGCTAGGTACTATTGTGGGTCTCTGTTTTATTGTAATTTTCTTAGCCGTTTGGGTTTGGGCCCATGAATAGCTGTTGTTAGGGTTTTCTAATCTATTTATATTTTTCTTGTAAACCGAGTGACTTGTAACGAGTGGCGGTGAGGAGAATATAGTACAGACAAGCTGGACGTAGCCTTAATTGGGTGAACCAGGGTAAATCATCGTGTCAATCTCTCTACTCTTATATCTTTTTCTGTTTTCTCGATTTTGTGTAATTGTGGATTTTCAACAATCATGAGAGGATTTTCAGGTTTGGATTATGGTAACATGCACAGGATTAATCCAATTTATATTGTTTTTTAAGTTATTTACTCACGACTGTAAATTAAAACCGGAATTAGAGATTGAATATTTATTATTATTATTATTATTATTATCTCTTAGCCCAAAATATACTATAAAAAATTACCTAACAAGCTTCTTAAATCAAGCAAATCAGTATAAATAAAACTTACAAGTATGATACAAGCTTACGCGAAAAACTCTATATCACATATAGATACTAACAAAGAATTGGAAGACTTTCAAAATATTTCATTACTTATTTATTTTCATATACCAGTATGCTACTTATAAGCCTCACATGCGGATACAAGAATTCAGATACAATCTATTTATAAAAACTACTAAAAACTGTACAACTAACAGAAGTTGCTGTCATTCGCAGCTTAATGATATATAAAATTGGGTCTATTATATAGACCAAGATTTACAATTGGTTACATCAGGAAATCAGCTAAACTTAAGGAACAGAAAGCATAAATCAAGCTAATCTATTTACATCAGGAAATCAGCTAAACTTAAGGAACAGAAAGCATAAATCAAGCTAATCTATTTACATCAGGAAATCAGCTAAAACTAAGGAACAGAAAGCATAAATCAAGCTAATCTATTTTAATATACAAGGTAACAAACCGTGATAGTTACAATCAGGATCCTAACAAATTAATGCTACTCTAATACTCCCCCTCAAGGTGGAGCATGGAGGGAGGAGATGCCCAACTTGGAAGTCAAAAAATCGAATTGTTTGGATCCAAGTGCTTTGGTCATAATATCTGCGGGTTGAGAACTAGTGGGGATATGTTGAGTAGAAATAGTCTTGCTGAGAAGATAGTCCCGAACAAAATGGCAATCTAACTCGATATGCTTGGTACGCTCATGGAACACTGGATTAGAAGCAATATGAATAGCAGACTGACTGTCACAAAACAGTTGCATAGGGGCTGCATGAGGAATATCAAGAGAGCTGAGAAAAGACTTTAACCAAATAAGCTCAGAAGTCGCAGCTGCCATGGCACGGTATTCAGCTTCAGCAGAGGAGCGGGATATTGTGTTTTGCTTCTTGGTTTTCCAAGAAATAGGAGAATGTCCAAGAGTAACAAAATAACCAGTGACTGATTTTCGAGTCAAGGGACAACTAGCCCAATCCGAATCACAATAGGCACGAAGAAGAAGATCACTGTCAGATCGAAGAAGGAGTCCTTGGCCAGGATTGGACTTAATGTACCGAAGAACACGAATAGCCGCATCGTAATGTATCTGCATAG